GTGACTCAGCCCCAGGGTTCACAAATGTTCTCAGTTCCCTTCACACCCAGGGGCATATTCCTGAATTACTGTGTAAAGCACTTCTGGGTGTAAAATTGTAGCACTGCCTCCAAAACTCCACTTCAAATTCACTTTCAAATTCACCATTGTTGCACTAATTACTGACCTCCTTTGCAAAAATAATGAAATTAAATACAGAATTATTTCAACATAAATGGTAATCTACATGACAGAAGGGCTCATGACAAGGAATCAGCCTCTTTTTGAACACATTATACATTGGCATGAAAACATTACTTCTCCTGTAAAATATAATTGAGATTATCATGTCCGTATAAAAGAATGTTCAAATGGACTCCAATCTTTTCCATGCTCAGCTTATCATAGGTCTAGCCATGACACACGTGCCCTTTATAAGTAAATGTTTATCTTTCAAATTTGAATTTTTCTGCTAATACTTTGAATAATTTAAGATCAAATACCATCACAGATTATGAAATATTGAGTTTATGCAACTTTTTAATGTAAAATTTACTATATATTGTCATTAATATTAACTTAATCATAATTTTAAGAATAGAGAATCATTTAAAGTGTACCTCAGTCTTACTATACATCAAGTAAATGTAATTTTAGATAATGTCAGCCTTTGTGTGGATTATCAATTTCACAATCAGTTCACATTAGGTATCAAAAACCACATTTATCTCTTCCAGAATTGCATGATATTTTATATTTCAGATATTAAAACACCTTCAAGTTTTAAAAAAATACTTTGCAATACTTTTAAGGGACATACTCTATTTTTTAAGGAAAAATTTGATTATCTTCCATTCATTTGTCTTTTAAACTCATGTTAATCAAATAAAAATTCCTTCTCGAGGTCTCTTGTCAAAAACCTCTCTAAAATCACAAATTGATCATTCTAGTATTTTGTTATTTTAAGTGCTCCCTGGAGAGCCTGGACTCCCCTGAGAACTGCACCTGAATGCACACCCAGAGCCCAACCCCATCCTCCCCTAGACCAAGGGTGCCCAAGCCCGACCCTGCGTGAGCAGAGCCTGCCTGGTCCCCCGGAGTCCCTGCAGCCCACACGCACCTCTGCCCGGCTCCTCCGCAGTGAGCCCAGAGCCTGAATCCAGCCGTCCTGATGCTGGTGTTTTGAGGCCCAAGTGCTCCCAGAAAAGTCCTCCAGGACTGGGACCACAGAGGACAGACAAATCTTGCTCGCAGGCTGGGCCTGGGCCAAAGCCCGGAAGGAGCCCGCTGGTGCTCAGTGCTTCCTTGGGTGCTGAGGGCCAGAGCCTGGGGAGACCCTGTATTCTATTCAGACTCCCAGGGTCACTGTGTCTCAGCCCGAGGGGACCTGGGATTAAATATTCCTTATCCATCCCGCGCACCGCTGAAATATGTCTCCCTGGGGTTGCCAGTTTTGAGTTTATTGGATACCAAATTTACTGCATTACAGTGCAGTAAATTCTTACAACTTCTGGCATTTGGGGATTCATTTTTAATTTGCTTTGTGTAGTATTTATGGTCAAATTGGTCTCGTGTTATTATGTCAAAGAAAACTTACTAAGTATTAAAATGGATAACAAAGTTACCCTTCCTCACTTTGGTGGGACTCTTTTTAGGAAATATCGATATTACATTTCATTGCAAATAAAACATTAAAGTTCTGCGACGTCTTTTTCATGATCTCTAATAACTGAACTAAAGGGAAGTTTCCTGGGAAGTGATCCTACTGGCTTAGTATAGGTTTATTTTTTCTAACTTTGTTATTGTCATAAACCCTATGTTAAATAAAATTTATGATTTGATTATTTG